TATATATATATATATATATATATATATTCAAAAAACGTCAAAAGATCAATTTTTTTTCCTTACAAATATCAAAACTAGCTTAACAAATCTTGTTTCACCACCACCTATCCCCAGCTAATGAATGGGGATCTTAAATGAACCATCATCGTCACCATAAGTTGATGAAATGAAATCGAACCCGGAACTCAGTTGCACCTCTAAACGCAGATTTATTCCGAGGAAAACCCGTTCTCCGACGTTTTCAGACAACTATTGCACGCCTCCTGAGCTGGTGCAATGACCACGAGCTAAGCCCTACCGTACGAGTTTGGTGATATGAGGCTTTCTATGTATGCATTGGCCTCAAATCCGTCCCTCAGCTCAACACCTTTAAGGACCAATGAACTCGAGGTGTCATTCCCGAAATTGTACAACACCATCTCTCCGTCCACTTCCATGAGAGTTTCCTCCTCGTTCTTACCCGAACACAGTGGCTTCATGAAACTGTAACACACACTGATCCGAATTCTGCTCCATGAGCTAGCCATGCCGTACTCATTCATCACCCAGATATCATCGTGCATCTCCTGGCAATTGTTGACGATGCAGAGCCGCCCGTTGAGATTCCCGGCCACAAAACCCCTAAACCTGTGTTGGCAATCCTCAGCTTCATCGGGTAAAGCCATGTCTTTGAACTGTTCGCTGGTTAGATCGAATGCAACTACGACTCGTCGGTTATCCTCTTCAGGACTTGCAACCCAGTGGATTGCGCCATTGACGAGAACCCCAGACCTGTTCAAGCTACCGCGGTATGGAAAATTCACAAGTGGTTTCCAAGAATCTGTCTTCAGAGAATAAACACTGGAGTTCAGAACATCATCACCCGAGACAAGCGCCACCACCTTATAATCATCGGTTATAGCATCGAACCCGAACCCAAATGTTTCGTAATCTTCCTCTTCGAACCCCGATTCGGGCAAGTCCGGAATTCTCTTAGATTCTCCGGTGGTCGGATTGAACATGAACACGGCGCCTTCAGC